AAGCGAGGATGGGACGAGCTCAGAAGGTAATTTCCCTTTCAAAATCAACTTGACAGTTTCATGGCTGACAAGAGTTTTTTTACTCATTATCACAATTTCTAGCGGTCATTTTGAATTTGCAATTGTAAGCAAGGCTATCCAACAAATACAGGATTTCATTTGCTCTCCGTTATTGTATTTTTTTGAATTGTACTTTTACTTGTTTTAAGGAAGTCAGCGATGAAAAAACAAAGATTGTGGGAAGCTAATGAAGCTTATCAGTTGAATCGTCGCATTGAAGACTTAGAGAAGTGGCTTGAACGTGTGGAAAATGACTTGGCTAGTGAGGACCATGGCAAAGATTACATTTCTGTGGAAGCTCTCATCAAGAAACAGGATAATTTGGATGCAGAAATAAAATCTCGTAAACTTGCTGTTGATGAAATTGTTTCTAAGGCACATGAATTTGAAAAACAGGTAGAAAATTTTTACAACTTTTCTCTAGTTTGCAAGTAGTCGTAAAGATTAAGTACACAAGTATAATTCTTTATGAAACGATGTACTAAAATTTTTATGTATTTACTGATAATGAATTAATTGGGACAGACTTACATCCTTAACTACTAAGTTTTTCTCTGATGAAAGTTGGCAAACAAACGCTGAAGTCGGGAGCTTACTCAGTGGACATCTCCAAATTTATAGTTTTATTAAACTAGTTTTTTTTCCTGAAAACTATCATATTTCGAAATTTCAGGGTTATGCAACTGCTGTTGAATCATTACAAATGGCAACTGCTCTTGAAATGCGGTATTATGATTTACAAAAGCCTTGTTTGATTCGACGTGAAAATTTAAACGATGCCTTGTCATTTTATGGATGGATATCTGAAGCAGAAGAACAAATTGAATGGCTAGACAATCGGAAAAGGCAAGCAATAAGTACAGGTTATGGGGACACATTACATGTTGTACAGTCTCTTGTCAAAAAACATGCTCATCTTGAAGCTGAAGTAGATGGTCGAAAGGTAGGATTGTCACTTTATTCCTCTTTGAATAAATGAATAAACGAAATTTAGTTGAATACATTTAATTTGTTGTGAGAAAATAGATGGTCAAATTGTACATTTCTTCATTTGGGAACAACTTGATAATTTTTAACGCCTTTCAAAAGTAATAAAAGTTCTTGTGGGTAAATTACAAGGATGCTATAAAAAGTAAGAAAAACATTGCTTTTTAGTTGTTAGCTTCCACTCATTTGTTTTCAGGAAGGAATAGCAAAGGTTGAAGAAAAAGGTCAAAGGATGATTAAAAATGGACATTTTGCATCCAATGAAATACAACAAATTTTAGATAAATTGTCGACATCAGTGTTATCTATCAAGCAGTTTATGAGTGAAAGATCGAAAAATTTAGAAGATTCTTTACGTAGTCAACAAGTAAATTCATTTTATTTGTACATTGATTTTGATGCTTTCTACGTTTTAAAAACTTTTCTACGGTTTCACTTTTTAACCGATTATTTTACGACCACAGATTAGTTTTTTAGAAATAAAGTTAGGACTAAATTTTATTTCTTTGCTTTATTTATATTTTGTATTTCAGTACTATGCTGAAGTAAATCAGGCTCAACAATGGGTGCGGGAACGCATACCATTAGTCACAAACAGTGATATAGGTAAAGATCAAGCAGCAGCTGAGGGACATTTAAGACGATTAAAGACTTTGGAAAGTGATATAAACAAATTCTCTGATGAAATAGAAAGGCTTCGAAAAGAAGTGGAAGTGATGTTTGCAGCGAAGCATTTTGATTCAACAAATGTTAGTTTTGCATTCAAAATTTCTGAAGACGTTGTGTTTAATAATATTTTACTCATAGATTCTCAAGTAATGCTACTTATTAATGCATAGTTATATAAAAATAAAAAAGTTTTTTGTTTGGTATAAAATCGTTCTTTTTTACCTTCAATTTCTGTATTTTAACGCAGTAAATCTTTTGCTCAGTTAACATGTAAAAATATATTCTATCAAACTTATATATTTTTTGTTGCTAGTAGCATATCCTTGATTTTAATGAATTTTAATATAAATCTTTTTAGCTGTCATCCAAACAGAGCAGACTTGAAGATCTATACAAGCAGCTTAAAGATAATTGTGCGAAACGAAGGGTACAATTAATTGATTCTGCAAGATATCATTCGTTTGTCCGTCAAGTGGACAGCCTTGATCAGTGGCTGTCAGAAAAGTTGGAAGTTACAAAACATGAAAATTATGGTACGTGAAACTCGAAACTTCAGATTCCAACATTCTATTTTTTTTAAATAATATAAAAATGTAACAACTTAATAATTGTGCTAATAATTATTGTGCTGAACTGAATTATGTTAGAAATGTGGCATTTTATACTATTCTCTAAATGCGACATGATAAAATGAAATGTCATATTTTCACTAAAATTTACTTCTTAATATTTGCTCATAGTGAATTAAAAGTTTCTGACTATAGTTTTGCAAAACTATTTTCAGTAAAACAAAAAAAAATTTAGGACGCGACTTAGCTGATTGTCAGAAATTGGTAGCCGAATTTGACCAAGTTGTACGCGAGTTAGCATCTGCAGGAGAAAGAATTGCTGCAGTGAGGAAGACTCAGGTGTTTTGATTAAGCTCAGAGAAATTTTTTTTAATATTTATTTTTCTTTTAAAGTTTTGCTTTCGCAGTGAGTTTAAAAAAAATTTTTTTTCCAAGATTGAGAGTTTTCATTTGTAGGAAGAATTGCTTCGTAGTTGTCATCCATTTGGTGCATCTATTAAAGCAAAAGGAACTGATTTACAACATTTATGGTCCCGTGTAAATGAAGCAGCAAACGAACGTCAGCAAGCATTGCAAGGCGCTATTCAGGTTTGCGATTCATTAATAAAGGTCTTTTCAATCTTTTCAAAGATGTACTTCGTCTCTTGTGTACAAAAATGGTTCCTTTTTAATTTTGTGGATGCTCCTTGAATAGTTCTTCAAAATGTTAGTAAAACTTACTATTATTTGGCTTCAAAATATTCAGACTATATATCACCGTTATTTATTGGATCTTAATGCTAATATTGACTACATATATGAATATATATTACTGCATTTGCAAAAAAATGGATACTGTGGATTTGTTTGCAATTAGTCGCAGTGTTAGATTGTTGAATTCAAAATTCCCATTTCTTCATCTATGTCATCAAATTCTCAAACTTTCCAAGGTTCCGCATAATAAAAGGACATTTTTACAATCTAGCATTTACATTGTTTACTGATTCTCATATTTTGTTCTTAATCTGTCTTCACGCATTTTTTTAAAAATATATCTGCGTAAGTGGTATATCCTTGTCGGTTTATAATAACAGTGAAAGACTTGAATCATTTAATTTATTGTTGTTTTAAGAAACTAAAAGATTCATTGCCGTTTCTAATGCCAAAAGTCAATATCTGTTTTTTTAGCATTCTATTTAGGTTCATAAATTTGATGAAGATGCCGATGAAACTCTTGGCTGGTTAGAAGAGAAGGAAGCGCATCAAGTAGCCCTTGAGAGCGAAGATATTTCACGAGCTGATCTTCCTGCCTTAAAGCAAATGGTGAATAAGTATGACGAATTCATGCGTGGCGTTGCAGCTGTTGAAAAACAGGTATACGGCAAATATCTACATTTGTGACAGCTTCAATTTAAAAAAATCGTCCCGAAAAATGTATTCTGTTATTTAGGTTAATGATTTATGCCGTGAAGCGGAACGCTTGATATCTTTGTATCCAGATACACAAGAACATTTAGTGGTTCGAAAGATGGGTATGGAAGAACAGTTGAAAGATGTTATGAGTACAGCTAACAAATATTTGGAAAAGTTGCAGCAAATGCAGAATCTTCAGTCATACTTTCAGGAACATCGTGATTTAATTGCATGGATTAAACGTCTACAACACGCTATAACAAGGTATGCATTGTTTGATTATTATCTTGATTTTAATTTTCGTCACGACAATTTGTTTCAAACAGTACTTCCAAATAAACTAAATTTTTTGACAATTTTAACAGCTATTGAATTGTATATAATAGTGACATCTTTGCAGTGAAACACTTCCAAACGATGTGGATGGATGTGAAGCATTGATGTTGCGTCATGCAGAATATCAAACTGAAATGAATGGTCGACAGTCCGCTGTGGATGAATTTATTCGAAAGGGTAGCAGCATGATTGCTGCGCAACATGTTCTCTCTTACGAAATATCTGCAAAAGTACAACAATTTTTGTATTTTTCCTTCATCATTATTTATGCGATTAGTTGCTGTACGAAATGTGTTACTAATGTTCTGAATAAGTGAAATTTATGTTAACTGGAAGTGAATGCACATGAAGTACTGAAAATACTGAAAAAAAAAATTAAATATACCTGACTAAAAAAATATCACATCTTGTTTTCAGATTAAGCATCTAGAATCAGCTGTGGATTTGTTGAAAGAAATCTGGAAGGAAAGATTGGTACTGTATGAAGAAAATCTAGACTTGCAGCTGTGGAAACGAGATGCAAATATTACGGATTCTTGGCTTACAGAAAAGGAAGATATGTTGAAGGAGGATTGGAGGAAGGTTGAAGATGTAGATGATGCAACCAATAAAATAAGGTTCAAATTTGTATTTCAATTATTGCATTGAAATAATATTGTTTGCATTATTATTAACCATTAATGATATTGTTTTGAAGGAATTTCGACGATTTCTTAATCACACTTGAAGCACAAGGAGAAAAATTTGACGCTATAAAAAGATTAACGCTCCTTGAAAAAGCTTATTCAAAGCAACGAAAAAAGGAGACAGAAAGGTTCTTTGTTCATGCATAATCAAGCTATTTAATAATTTTATCTGAGTTTGATTGAGCATTTGACAAGTGTAAAATTTAAAAATTTCAGTGACAGCTTTAAATTTCCTATTCACATTTAGTATATATTAAAACATATTGTTACGGTTTTAGGATTCGAGTGGAAGAAGTAAAGGATGAGTCTAGGAAGGAAAGTATAAAAACGTTTGACAAACAAAATAAACTACATGATCGTCGAAAAGAAAGGGAACGACGTATGACGCAAGAAGTATCTTTAATGAAACCAAGTCCATCGTATGCTGAAGAATTATATGCATCACATACTTTACCGCACCCTAGGCGTGGAACTGAACCTGTTGCGCGTGCACGAACAACATCATTTGAATCAAAAGTACGAGTAGATGATTTTTAGTTTTGTTATAAATGTTTTGCTGTCCAAAAGTTCTTATCTTCGATTAAATTCATTAGTACTATTTTATGTTTCCAAGCGAACCATTTATTAAATTCCTTATGAATTGTCAGGAAATACCAGCTACTCCTTCAAAGCAGACAGCTTCAAGTATTTCCGATGCCTCTTCGATAGATACCGAAAGAGCAGTGAATCTGTTAGCAGTCAGTGAAACTCCAACTATTCAGAGGATAGGGTCTGCTCGGAAAACTCCTAAATTTACTACTAGACGATCAAATTCATTGAAGAAGGGCAAAACATGGGTAGATTTTGGTCCTATTGATATGCATGGACATCTCGATCGAAAGCAAGATCTGCAGGTGAGAATGAACTTTAAAATTCATATCATTCTTAACATATAATTCTTGTTCACTACGATTTTTTTCTGCTTTACACGTTTTATTTTACAATTCATGTTATTCATTCATCCTTATTTTGTGTGAATTTGTGATGATTGATAAGAATAAGTTTTTCACTTGAAAAAATTTCGAATTCTGAATTTTCGAATTTTGAATTATGTGTTTTCAGAGTGGCGGAAAAAAAGCAGCTATGCGCACTTGGAAAAGGTATTACACAATTTTATGTGGACAGCTGCTATGCTTCTTCAAAGATGAAGAATCATTTTTGGAAAATTCGGCAGCTTCTGCTCCTGTTAACATTCTAAATGCAGAATGTGATGCATGTCCAGAATACATGAAAAAGAAGAATACTTTCAGGTGATTTTTTTTTCGATTTGAAAAGCATATCTTGTTTATTTTGTATTATAAGAAATTACGATTGAAATTCTGAAGGAGTGAGTTTCTAATTTTTTCTAAAGTTTGATAGAAACAAAAGAGGACAACATTCGTTGCTGGGCATTTCAGATTGAAAATACAAGATGGATCGGAGTATCTTTTCTCGTGCAGTGATGATGAAAAAATGTTGGAGTGGGTGTTGAAAATCAGATTTCATGCAAATTTGGCTCCTGCTCAGCAACTGCGTAGTTTTGATAAGGTTTTTCAGTCTATAATTTCTAATGAAACTTATTCTAATGAAAGAGTACACTGAAATTAGGTTTTTTAACATGGTTTTTCACCAAAATTCTTTTTAATTGTCTTATAAAATTTAAGAAAAATTAGTGAAGAACAACAAAAAATCAAGGAATAAATTAGAATCTGACTCTAATATATTCATTTTTAATGTTACTTGAACTGTATTATATTGCAGAGTGAAAGCCCACCAATGTATTCACCCCCTCCACGACCTGGAGAAGCTGTACGAAGGCATACAACGGAGTTGGTTTCATCCATCGAAGTTAAGTCTACTGTGCCATTGTCTTATGAAGCTGATTTACATGAAGAATCGCGAACTGTTATTGCCAATGATGAGTGTAAGTTTTTTTTTAAATGCGGTTTTTCTCTAATTATAGACATTGATTGGTATTACCGATAGATCAACGAGGTCATTTATATAGTTCAAGCAACATCAGTTCAGCGTGAAAATTGGTATTGTTGAATATTTACTGATAAGTTTTTTTCCAGTTATGTAATGTTTCGAAATGAATTCCATTTAGCTTCTTTTCCATGAACAAATTATTGCAGATGATAAGAAAACATTGTCGATAGATCAACGAAGTCATTTATATAGGTCAAGTACAGCAACGGTAACATCAGTTCAGCGTGAGAATGGACACGGAAATATTGTAAGAAAATAAATTATATTAGTTTCTATTCACTTATTAAGAAAATTTCAATCAGAAAAACGGTTTTCACTTATTTATGTGTTAATTATTTTTCAGTTTCTTTAGTTTTGAGTGTGTTGTATTGCAGATAATTCTAATTTCACATGACTTGAAGCCACGTTTGCAATACTATAAATTTGTATACACTTGTTTTTAGGATGGTCCTGAACTGCAGTATTTGAATCGTGATAAAGAGATGAATGGTACACGGGTGTTAGATTTGGATTCTGTTTCTGTGACTTCGTCTACATCACGCCGAAATGCTAGTGGCATGAAAGGCGGTGATAGTGAATTCGTTGCTTGGATTGAACGACAATCTAATCTGTCACCAACAAGTGTTATGTCAGCTGCACCTGTTGTAACACAGCAGACTGTTGATGACACCGATTCTATTAAAAGTTTGTCTTTATTTCACTTGACTAAATCAAATCAAGTTTGCAGATTAAATTCTAAATGAAATCAAAGGTTTTTCAAAATCAAGTAATTGCGTATTTGTTAACATTTAAAGTGTGCAGGTTTAAATTGCTATTTTTCATTAGCTAACTTCTTTTACATTTGAAAATATATCTTTTTGTCATTTATGAATAAACAGTAGTTTTTAAATCGAGAATAAATATAATAAAAAGTGAATGTTATATTGCAGAACGTAAAGCATTTTCGTTCTTCAAACGCAGCTCTCGGCATAAAGAAAATGGCAACAAATAAAAAATGAGATCATTTATCCGCACCCGAATTATTCTTTTGTTCTTCTTGTTAATAATAGATGCTTTTTGAAGGAATATGTTAAAAATTAATGTTATGACTTTCACAAATTTGCGTATTCATTACATGAAATATTGATTAACACAGGGTTCCTCAGTTTCATATATTGAAGATTCATATTATATGTCTTTAAGATTTCTGATTTTCTACCGTTGCCTTATAGTTTTGTTCCCAGGACCAAGCTCATACTGGAAAAGTTTTGTTTAAAAAATGTAATACATATGATTATTTGAGTAGTTATTTTTGTTCGAAATTCCTTCAAGAAATTTGCTTGCTCTTGTTTGTATTTTAGTTTTTCTCGCTCATAGCTCATTCCTTGTTCATACTCACTATTAATAATACTCCTCATTCATGAATATTCATTGAACCCATTTTATAATGGTAATCGTAATAGCATGATTGTCATCTTTTTTAGATTCCCTTTAAAATATAGTTGAAGTTCATTCGTTGGGAGCATTGTAATGTCAGTTCATTCAGAAATTTCTACTACTACTACTTTTGCTTGTATTTTTAATACTTTTCATCACTGATTGAAAACCTGTTCGCCGGGCCAAGTAGTAAAGTTCAAAGGATCTAACTGTTGAATATTTTCCTCCATTTATTTGCAATGAAGACAATTAGCTTATTTCATTTGAGTACAAGCAAGTCTTACTGTATTAAGAATCACTTCTAAATGTTATGATACATATGCTTTTGAAGTAGCGAAATCGGCGTGCATATTTAATGATAAAAATGCAATAAAATTTTTTGCTGTAATTGAAAAATTTCAAGTAACGATCAATTTTTAACGTGACGTACACTAAAAAGTGAGATGGTGTTCTCTGCAGTGAATAAAAGAAAATTGACACCTGTAATATAACAAAATTATTACTACTAGTCTGCTGCTGGTTTACGGAAATATGCACTCCAGGAGATGTAAAAAAGGCAGTGATTTGAAAGTAGGAAGTTGGCAATTTTAGACGAACTCAGGATTTTATGAGAAGCAGTCAGGTTTTATTCTTGGTAATATTCGTAATGAAATGAAGGCGTAATTTACATAAATAATTGCTGATGGATAGTGAAGTTATGGTTGTGGTAGTAGCAGACTGTTAGAGGTCAAAAAATTATATATCAAACAGGTGTAGTCTAATAGCAAAAGATTTTTTACTTCTAGTAAGTTGATATATAAAATTAGCAATAGAAGATTTCAAACACACATTTAGTGGAAGATATCAGGAATGTTATTTATTTGCTTTGAATTTGGCGTCTAGGTACTATAGTCTTGTCTCGGATCAAAGTATTTTGGGTTCTGACCTATTGATATGTATACTTGTTCATACATATTGTCAAAAGTGTAAAGTTTGTATGGAAATTTGTACAGTATTATTTAACATCAGATGACCCTTAAAACGACTGCTTTGCAATTAACTGTAAAGACAAACAGAAAATATTAAAAAATTGTTCAGAAAGAGATTTTGACAATTGTTTTTTTGGTCAAATTGCTAAGAAAATTTACTTATATATTTGGTTTTATGATAATATGCCAGATTGTAGCTTTATTGACAGTTACTTACTAGCTAAAATAATAAGGGACTACCAGGAACAAACATTGAATCTAAGCTCAAAATTTTGAATTTCAAATATCCGCCACTTTTCAAATTTTTATTTAAATATCAAGATTGCATTTGCATAGCGCGATCATTTTGGGCTGCGCTAAAAAGACTTTAATGTTCGTTAAATTTTTAACTCTGTAATTGCAATATATGTAACTTTTATTTAAACTCATTGACGACAATGGCTGATCCGTTGAAATTACTTCATGAATATGCTGTTGGTCGACGGACTATGCGGGAAATCAAGAGCGTTCGTTTTTTTAATTTTTTGAGGAAACTTTTGAAGACATTTTTTTATACTATTGAAGTGCATATGTTTTGAATTAATCTATTAAGTAATACGAGATTTGGATTTAATAGATATTCGGACTTGATCGGCAAGTTTTTATTTTACTCTGAAAAAAGATGGTTATTATAATTTTTTTAAGATATGCAGTGTGCTGCTGTGATTAAGAAAGCGGCACTTTATTTATGCAGTGCAAATGTTGCTACTATTCATTGAAATCAAAAGTACTAATGTAGTTAAGTTTACGTTTTTCAGGGTAATCAACGTTATTATGTGTTTGGTGACGCAGCGTACCCCCGTGATGTCAGGACAAATTTAACAGTTTATGGCAGACAAAATGAATATTATACTTTGGAGTCGTTACTGCTGTTATGGGAAAATCGAGAAATGCAGCACACTGCATATGTTAAAGATGCCTCTGGTAAAGGCATACAGTGTGTTACCAGACCAGACAGGTATATTCTGTTTTTACATCTCAAATATATACGCACAAAGTAAAGTGTTCATTAATCCATTGTAAGAATTTATGCATCTTATTTGCTCTATTTTTCAACAAATCTATCTAACTTTTTTGTGACAACTTCTGTTATTAAAGTTAGTTTGTTATAGTTATATATTTTTCTTAAAGACGTGAACTTTTGGCATATCTCAAAGGAGAAAGAGAGCAACCGCCGCAGACTGTAGACTTGTTAGCGCCTATTCCAGCGCCAGTCCCGGTTTCTCGGCTTCTTGATCAGCATGAACCAGAAGTTAAGAAACCTCGATATGATGGAGAAGAAAATCGGTCTGTGATTTGTACTTATTAGCTCTAACAGTAGCTTTAAGTTGTAGACTTCACTTTTTTTGTAGTATATTTCTTTAATCAAATGTATATAGATTCTTACTTTTGGAAAAAATTCAGGCAGCGAATTCAAAATCTTTTGAAAGGTACTGTGGACGGAAGCAAAGGTGCTGATGTCGAAGGAGTAAGGGATCTAAGTGATAAGCTTACAGCGGACAAAATTGCTGCCTTGAAAAATAAGCGAAAAAAAAATATGGCGCGGAATACTATTAAATCTGTTGATGACAGGTAATTTTTTGTAATATTTCATAAAAGTTTATTTATTCATTTTTATTTTATTATACTTAAATTTGGCACCAAAATTTCTTGGTCTTGTTTTTTTTTGGTTTGATTATATAGTGCTTATAGGTTTTAATCATAAGTAGATCGATTACGAAGTGTTACAGATTTGGCGCTGCAATGGATATAGATGTGCCGGATATAAATGAGGATGCCTTAGATCGTGAACTAAAGAGTAAGGAACGGGTTTGGAGGAATCGGTCAAGTGTAATGGAGGCAGCTTCTAAAGAATTCACGTCAATTCTTTCTATCTTGCACAGTTTCAAAGTATATGGATTGAAAATTTTTTTGCTCTCGAAATCTAAATTGATACAGTGATATACAGATTTCGGTAGTTTCACTTTTGCCATAAGTTTACAGCTGCGAGAAGAAGCAGCTCAACGTCAAAAATCTTCAATTCCCTTAACAAGAGCAGTGGCAAGTGATCGAAACAGAGTGCAACCCATTGGTTACTCTCGCTATGATCAGGAAAAGTTCAATAAAGATCAAACTGCTGGGTTTAAAATCGAAACTGGACTTACTTTTCAAGGTTCTGCTACAAATATGCATTTATGTCGAAAATTTCAAAACTTTTTTCTTCATGTGGCATAGTTTCTAAGATTTTTGGTAGAGAATATAATGATAAAGTTTTACATTAATATTTTTACGGATTTTTTAGGAGCTTCAATTATGTCTGCATCTGGAGCTAAACCAATGGTAGTTGAGTCAGCAGCGCCTATAAGATCTTTGACACCTGTAGTAGAAAGTGGCACTCCTCGACTTCAGAAGAGGCAATCACGAACACCAATTATAGTCATTCCAGCTGCTGGTACTTCCCTAATTACAATGTTCAATGTTCGTGATATACTACAGGTCTGTTTGCTTCATTTCTATGTTTTTTTAATGAATAAAGAAAGAGACTCCTTAACTGTTCTACCAGTTAAGTTGAATAATGACTTCATGGCAATCTAAGCATTTAAAATTGCAGGAATTATTATTTTAGGAGATGCGTTTTGTGACAACTGAAGAGCGTAAAGCGACTTGTAGGCGAGAAAATGAAGTTCTTATACAAAGGCTTAAAGCTGATAGCGTTACAGTTCCTTATAGAGTTGCTGAAAATCCTCTTAAGTTCAGTGATGATGAATGGAGTCGAGTTGTTGCTGTTTTCGTTCAGGTTAATATTTGTATTTATTGTTATTACCCAGCTAAAAGTATTTGAAATCTTTTGTTACTAATAATTTTCAAGTTATTTTTCGGATCAGTAAGGACTGAGTTCACGATAAATGCGTTTATTTTGTCTGAAAGTTTTGTGATCTGAAATTCAAAAGAAATGCCCCACTTTTTTCTTTTGCATTTACATTTATTTAGGGACCGGCTTGGCAGTTTAAAGGTTGGAGGTGGGGTGGTAACCCAACGGATATATTTGCTAATGTAGCAGCTTTTCACTTAATGTATGATGACCAAAAAATGGATAATAATGTGGCAAAATGGAGTGTTAACGTCTTGAAATTATCTCGAACGAAGCGTCATTTAGATCGTGCTATACTAGCTCGTTTTTGGGAGACGCTTGATCGTTATATTATAAAAAATAAGCCTCATTTAAGATATTAGTTCATGTGTTATTATTGTTGTGTCGATTTAAGTTGTTTTGAACATCTAATGAGCTTGGGAGTTCTATTTCGAGATTCCTACTTGTTACAACTCATCGTGTCAAGTGAAGCAATAAGCTAATAGGTAGATTTATTTTATAATACATGCGGCTATAGTTGAAGATTAAAAATTTCTAGATTGTTGGTAATCAGACTATTGATTCACGAGAGTTGAAAATTTATAGTAGAGCGGTTTTATTGAAGGATATATTATTAAGATTGTTCTAGTAGAAAAATATTTTATTTCGTACTTGACATATGAAACTAATTCGAATAGTTTGACACGTTCTCATGTTGTATATATGTTAATATTTTATAAATCTAGTGGTCGGTCTATCCACCACTGCATGCATTCTCGATAAGTTGTGAAATTTGAATACGTTCGTTTTCAGTTGAGAGATATATCACCTGTCTGTATCTAATATGCTATATAATTTTATTATGGTTTTAATTTGATTGAAAAAGTCTTATCGTATCATATATGTAAATTTGTAGGAACGAATTGCTGGCAAGTAATTAGGTTTCTTTTAGTACCTGTAGTGTTTTTGTTCAGCTTTTTGTTTATAAAATATTTTTGGTTTATGTGATGATTATGCTGATTTGTCATAAGTCTGTTCACAATTTTGCTCATAAAGTTGCTACAATTTTTTTGTTTTTTGCTTTCAGTGCTTTCATTATGACAAGAGAATTGTTTCGACAAGTAACCTCATGTTTAAATCAAACTTCTTCTAAGTAGAAGAGTATGAATCTCTTATAGCTGAAGCTAAAATCTGCTAAGATGTATAGATCGTTTCAACGTGATAGGTGCATTTCATGATGTAATTTGGATACTAAGGGATAAATGATTTAATGAGGTCGTGTGGATAATCTTTGAAAACTAAATCTTGTCTTTGAGATTTGGTTTTTTAAGATCATGCATACTATCCTAATCTTGTCTGTGATGTTTTTTTTAAGATGGTTTTACCCCAAAGTTGTCATTTGTGGGATGCGAAGGAATAGCTGATTGGTTTTTTGCTCATCTGCCAAAGTTCAGGTTCTTTTTAGCTGCACTTGGTAAGTCTCGCAGTTGTCTTTATAAGAGTGCAGGAAAAATGTTTGTTTTTGCTTTTTTTTGCAAGGAATTGTGACAATTTTGATGAATTGCTAAAATAGTACTAATTACAATTTTTGGGGTTCATGCAATAAATTTGTAGGGATATGACGGTTGACTCGAAAACGGAGGAGTTGTTTTCTCTCCTGGAAAGTGGCAAACTTCGACGAAGTACCCTTTTCGGGAAACATGATCGCAGTGCCGTGAAAAATGCGGTATATACTATATTGAACTTAGAGTCAAGTAAAACTATCTAAGATCTCATCCTTTACATTTAATACGAAATATGAGACCATGAGTGGCATGAAGAAATTGTGACCGGTAAAAAAGATATTCCTAATGGAAAGTTGTATCTTTTTAGGATGGTGAGAATATCTTAATGGTAGCAGTAAGAACGGGTCAGATAGACATTGTACAAGATATTGTTGGTGAATTCGATCTGGAAGATACAGATGCTGTTTGTATTTTGAATATTTCACCGAGATTATAGTAAAGAATGTCAACAACTTATCAAAAAATATATCTTATTTTTGCTTTCAAGATAGAAACTTATCAATTCTTCAGCATCAGTAATCGATATTATTAGATATTATTAAATTTGATCAGCGTAGGAGAATCCAAATACTTTGTCAAGTAGTTTGCATTTTTCGCATAGAAATAGTATGTGAAGTACTTTGAGAAAGTTTTTGTGGATATCTGAGATAAAATTATTTTTGCTTGTATGCTTTTTAAATGCACATGCTTCTATTTATTTAAAATTATTTTTTATCCTATGAAATTGAGTTTTATAAGCTTTTTAGGATGGTTGGACATCTCTTCTTGATGCTGCATACTTGGGAAGTGAAAAAATTGTAAAAATTCTTTTGGAGGCTGGAGCATCTGTCGATTATCCCGATGGAGTGAGGCATTTTATTTCTTTAAAGAAAGAAAAAATGTAGTTCATATATTTTGTTGATTTAGTTTTGTAGTTAAAATTTTAATGAAGTGATAGATTGCTTGTATTTTAGTTGGGCTGGAGTCCATTGATGTGGGCAGTGTACAAAAATCATTATGCATGTGCAGTGCTTCTAATTCAGCATAAAGCTCATGTGAATCTTATTGATGAAGAGGACAGTCTAACACCGCTTATTGTTGCTGCTGGACGTGGCTATGTTACACTTGTGGAGCTGCTTATTAATGCAGGTGCAGAGGTAGATTTTATTTGTAAATGTCGGTGATTTGTGGCAAAAATTGTATCTTTTTAGGATGATGAGAATATCTTAATGGTACCAGTAAGAACGGGTCAGATAGACATTGTATACGGAATTCTCAGTTGTTAATCTGCATATTTAGAGAGACTGTACTTGACAGGGAATGAGCTTAGGATGCCGGCTTCACAGTATTGGACAGAGAAGTGAACTTATATAGTTTATTGAACTGTATAATGTGTTCGAATCTACTAGAGAGAGACGATTCTGAAACAGGAAGAAGCTCATAACACGTACTTGGAAACTGTAGTCCCGTGCTCTCAGACCAGGTGCAACTTCGTAAACGATCCAGTCATTGAAATCTATTAGAGCGTGAAAGCGCTTCTGTATAGCAAAATAGAAATAAATTTTGCCTTGCAAAGCTATACAAGATGTGCACTAATGAACTAGCCTTAGTGGCTACGACAAAGCAACGTTAAAACGAGTATAATCGAAGCAGAGGTGAAATGTAGGACAATGATAATCTCGTATGTGATGACTTGAAATGCAAAAAAAGCAGTATATCTAATCGTGTAGAGACATATATCCAAACGATAGTGCTCTAGAAGACGCTCGAAAGTATTTAAATTGATCACAGCTATGGATTCCATGATAATGAAGCAAGGGGAATCAACACAAAGTGCAAAAAGGTTAAAGGAAATGTACCTGAACACGATTTAGCTCCAGAAACAGTGAATCCAAAACACTTGACTTCCGTGTGATATTATCGTTGTACATAATTTTTCAAGTTTTTGATTTTCCTTATTGACCAGTTTGGTTTTTTTCCATTTCAATTCTTCTAAACGTAGTTTTTTTGGTTTTTTAAAATTGAAGTATATTCTAGAGTTTTAATTTTTGCTAACTTTTGTTAAGTAATATTATTGCGCTTATCTTAGATGTTGAATATTTTTAGGTCAATGCGTGTGATAAGTTTGGAAGTACAGCTTTAATTTGGGCTGCACGCAAAGGTTACAAATCAATAGTCCAACTTTTGTTGAATGCAGGAGCTGAACTAGATGCTACTGGAATGGTAGCTTTCATTTTTATTATTATTTTAATGTATAAAACTGTCTTTGTAACACAAGATCTTTTTTGATAGATGCTTACATTTGATGTGTGTTAAATTTTGGTATATTATTTTCTTTCATAACTTCCTTCCATTTCAGTATGGTGCTACAGCTCTAATATTAGCTACGAGAGGTAATTTTATAGATGTTGTTGAACTACTGCTTACAAGAGAGCCAAATGTGAATGTAACTGACCAAGTACCTTTTTCACTTTGATTTCTGTGTAATTTTTTTTTCCAGGAATTATTTATTGGACTGTGTTTTTTAATCATCGCCAATGATTGAAATTATTTAGATTTCGCATATTTTGTCAGTATTTTCTATTCATTTTATAGAATGGTTTCTCATCCCTTACCATTGCGGCTCGTGAAGGATACGTTGAAATTGTATCAATGCTGGTACAACTTGGTGCATATGTAAATGCTGTTGACAGAGTATGAAATTTATATTTTTGAATGATGATTTTTTCATTTTTTCTCTAAAAGTCTTAAGTCATCATCTGTTGCAGTTTGGAAATCCTATTTTGGCGGGTGCTGTCCGATCGGGAAAAGTGGAAATAGTAAAAATGCTTCTTGATAAATATGTGGATGTTAATGCAAGAGATTCTGTGCGTTGATATTCTTTTTTGATTGGCTTCACTGTCATCTGCTTTGTTTACGAGAAAAAAAAATTACTTTGTTACAAAAATTTAAATTTGGTGGTCAGTGGAAGAAAAACTCTAAATTGTCTTTTTTTAAATGAGCCGAAATAGAATTGTTGCATACATTCTACAAAATCTTTATGGTAACTGGTCATTTGTTGTTGAAGCATTTTTCTAGGAAAACAGAACAGCCCTTCACTTGGCCATTGATAAATCTTTCATTGATATTGCAGTCCTTCTGCTGGAAAGAAAGCCAAACTTGGAAATCAAGAATAAGGTAACATTAAGATGCGATCAAAAACTTTGAAAACGTTAAATTAATTGCAAACCTTAATCGTGTTCTTAAGAAAAACATTTTTAATTTTAGAAAGCTGGAGTATGCATAGTTCGTTCTTACCACTTTTTATTTTTCTGCTCTACCGTTGCAGTATTTTTTAGTCAGCTCTATTAAGAGCAGTTGAACTATAATGTTTTTTATTAACGATTTCATAGGATGGTGATACACCACTGCTCCGTGCAGTAAAAAATAGAAATGCTGGCCTTTGTCAGCTATTGGTGAATTCGGGTGCCAAAATCTCGGCGACTGACAACGCGGGTGATAATGCTTTACATGTGGCTTTACGGGCGAGGTCACGGAAAATAACGCAGGTGTTGTTGTTAAATCCGTCGGATTCACGTTTGCTATATAGACCTAACAAACTTGGCCAAACACCTTATGCTATTGACCAAGAAAATCCACAACCAATTATTCCATTGATTTATGGTCCACTGGACGCTGAAGTACAGGTAGATGCCGTGTTTGGCTACGACGTTTACAGTAATGTCTTGGCTGATATTGTTTGCGAACCCAATTTAACTTTACCTTTAACTATTGGTAAGCTTCGAAAGTTTTAATATTATGGAATTAAACGAAATTTAATAATTATAAACCTTTGAAAATAGCTTACACCGAATATTGTGAATAATTATGAAATGAAGTTTGGTGCAGTTTTCCATTTCATTGGGATCATATACAGTTGTGAGCAAAAACAGTGAGATCAAACTTTAGAACTCTTTCAAATTATCAGTTGAGTAAATCAACATGTTTGTAATCTTGTTTGTTGCTAATCACTTAAATATTATGCTCCACATGTTTCTTTAAATATATTGTCAAATGTGTTGTTAATATGAATTTTTTCAGGCCTTTATGCGAAATGGGGTTCAGGGAAATCAGTGCTCCTAGCAAAAATGAAAAATTCAATGCGATCATTTTCAAGATCTTGGCTTGACGCTCTGCAGCTTTCATGGTCTTGGTCATTGATATTTACAATGGCAGTTGTTATAACTATGCTCACACTTATTGGCATTACTCTTGTCGCTGTTTTTCAGAACTTTAACTTTATTGTTATTTCTAGTGTTTGTGGGGTGACTGTATTTGTCATACTAATATTATTATATGGTATGTCTTCAACTTTATTAGGACTGAATTTTTAATAACTTCAAGAGTACTGTCTTTTATTATTCAGATCGTATTATTTTTTTTCTTCAAAGAATTTTGTGTATATTGAAACACGTAATCACTCATTTTAAGTGTATGCTGTATTTGAGTGATGCTTTTTTAAAAATTATATTGCCTCCTTGCTACTGAAATTTTTAAACAAAATTAGAAGTAAAGAAGAATTGTAATTGCTTTATTAAAAATTTACTTTATCATGAGTTTTTTTTTTCAGCTTTACTTTATTATGGAAGTGAAATTAAAGGCTGGAATAAATATGTAAGTATTACACACAGAATCGCTAAATTCTTAGCATATATGCAGTTACTGTCGGACGTTACACTGCAACATGCAGCATCAATTCGAGATAGAGATCTTCTGTCATGCCCTGTGAGGTGAGATTTAATTATGTTAAATATTTGAAATTTCTTCTTCAAGATCCTTCATGCTACACATAGACCGTTTCTGTTCGTCATTCTCAGCTTTTAGATGTGTATCTCCGCTTTGTACTCTTTTTCGAGTTTCATTAGTTTTTCTGCCTGTTTTCAGTTTCCTCTTTGCTGATTACCATCGCTTATCGTCTGTTGGTGGCGAGCAAGCACTTGCTAAAATTGTTGCTACATTGTTTGAAGCAGCCGAAAACCATTTTGGTTCACTTCCTGTTCGCTTATTTTGTGCTTTAAAAATATCATTTGGTAAAATATTATTGATTCTTACCTTCCTTGCTGTTTTTTGTTTTTGTACTTGATTTTCTTCATCGTCAAAAAATTAGATAAATATTGAAATTTAAAGTCTTAAATTTTCATTTTTCGACCAACAGAAATATTTATTATTAAGTACTGAAAATAGTAAAGTCTCTTCACTATCATCACAACTTTTGGGTATTTTAAAATGTTGACCATTAAGCAGTAACCTCTCAGTGAAAAATGTTGTAATAGTAGTAGGCATTAGTTCGATTGTTAATAATTAGGTTATTTAAATTTCTAAAGAATATTTCTTGTTTCAGCACGTGGCAAAAAGCCAAAAGCACGACGAATTTGTGGTGTGCCAGTCACTTTTTTATTGTCTCTGTTTGTATTTTCATTTAATTCGGCCTTTGTTTTCCTTGCATTATGGTTATATGATGGAATGGTTCTTCCTTCCAGGTTCTGAATTCTTTTTATCATTTAGAATTTTAGCGCTGCAAATAATAATCTCATGAACCATAACTTGTAAGAATATTTTGTGTAAGATTGATTGATGAAGGACTCATTTTACTGCAAACGCATTTTAAATGCATTGCAATAATATGATGTAGATTATCATTAATTATAAAATAGCTTGTACTTGTACAAGTTATTAACAGATCAACGCAATTTATATTGTATTTGCAGTTATATATTTGGTTCTCTGTCTTTTTTTGCCATTGTGGCAGTGCTTATTGTATATCCGCTTCATTTAATTATAATTTATGGATTTGTAAATATGCCGAGAAGACGCGTAAATGCTGCAGCGCGAAAGATCAGCAAGCTACGTTTTGAAGGATTTATGCAGAAATTGCAACATGAGGTATTTTTTTATTTTGCACAGTCTCGAATCGCGTTGAAGTTTTGAAATTTATTTTCGTAGTTTTATACACACACAACTTCTTAATCAAGTTAGCTTAGTATGAGTGAAATGAAATGTTTTTGGGAACCCAGTGATGGTAGGATTTTCCAGGTACATCTTTTAGCTGACATGATCCGTTCACTTGATTATTTCACGAATAGTCAGACTCGAATGGTCGTTGTAGTGGATGGTCTTGATAACTGTGAGCAGGTGAGATTTTACTTCAACATGTTAACACTATAAAAACATGATCAATGAATCACGCAATGATTATTGGAAGCATGTTTGATCCGAAAAAAGAATCATCTTCTGGAAAGTTTCGGCAATGACTTTGCTGTAAGCTATGTGTATTTATCAGAGATTGATAAATCAGTGAATTAAAGTTTTTAGTGATGCATCTGATTTGTCAGTTTATTGTTATGCTTTGCTAGCTATTACACGAAAGTTTTGTATTCTGCAAATGGTCATCCATGTTTGATGGGTATTGCAATAAAACTTTAGGAACGTATGGTCCAAACTTTGGATGCATTAGAATTGTTATTTTCTACTCGTTCCAATCGACCATTCGTTGTGACAATTGCTGTTGATCCTCATATTATCATTTCTGCTGTAAATCATAGCATGCATTCGGCATTAGCAGGAACCGAGCTTACTGGACACGACTACTTAAAAGTCATTATTCAAATCCGGCTACTAAAAAACTGCAAAGATTTTTAAAAACTCTGAATACAATGTGAATTAGGCATCTTCGTCTTTAAAAAATTCATAGTTTAAAGTTTTAAAATATCTCAATTTCCGTTTATCTGCGATAAAATCAATCATGTGGTTAGAAGTTAGGAACAAAGCCATTATAACTATGATATAGTAGTTAAAAATTTAAGTCAAAGGAGTGAAAAAGCCAAACTTTTAATCTATATGTTTCAATTGGGTATAGGATTTGTTTTCCTAGAATATCATTAATATGCCATTTTACCTACACAATTCGGCGATTCGGCAACTCCAAACAAATTTACGAAACAAAAGAGAAAGCTTAGATGACTGGAAGGAAAGATTCAAACGACAGGATACATTTCATGGTGAGCAGCTTAGCACTTTGTTCTCTTAAAATATTTCTGCTTCTAGTGTATCCTGACAATAAAGTCAAGTTTATTACCATGTTCTCTTGCAAACTGAAAAAGACAACTTGTGGAGATGTATTCGCTTGTTCTGGATAATGTGGGAAATTAAGGGTCTTATGTATCTTTGCGAGAAAGTACTGATGGAAAAGCATCAAAGAAAATGACAGCAATTCTGGGAACTCGTGGATTAAGCCATTCCTTATTAGCAGATGACTATTTTTCTAATATGAATCCTCGATCAATGAAACGTATTGTCAATGCTCTTACTTTGACAGGCAGGTTAGTAGGAAATAAATTTGCTGCCGTCTGCTGCATTTTTTCATTCCATTACCAGCCATATAAAATGTTTAAGTGTATCCTTGTATCCAGTTTAATCTTTATGAGATTGCATTTATTTGATTTTAATATCACATCTTTTTCTCCTTCCAACAGATTGATGCGTGCATTTGAGATCGAATTTTCATGGGTCGCACTCGGTTATTGGGTCAGTTTAATTGAACAGTGGCCATCTCGAATGTGTTGGCTTATTGACCATGCACTGGATATTTCACAGGATTCATATTCTCTCATTCAGGTTATTATTATTTTTCGTAATATCTCATTTATAAAACTGTGGTTTCTGCTTAATGATTTTCATCAAAAGTTTTTAGCTTTACAATGATCTAAAGCAGCAAATACCGAAGAAAAATCCATTAATTGATTTGGATCGAAATCCAGATAATTTCGAAATGTTCTTGGAACAGGCATCTGTGACTAGTCCAGAACCGTTGACTGTTGGACATGTTAGGCGTTTTGTACCATGTACTTCAAATTTGGATCCCTATCTTCGGAAGCTAATTAGAGGCATTGTTATTTCTATGAACTTCTTTTTATAAAAAGTTCATTTGAAAAATTAGAAGGGGCCATGTTTCATGAAACATTTTTTTTAACTTAATTTGGTCAATATAATCAAAAATGAATCAGATCACTCCTTAAATTGTGCAAGGCTTATGAACCTTTACTACTTTTATGTGCTCTAGATTTTATACATTTGCAATTAATTTTTTGAGTCGCAATATTACAGTTCTACTTAATAGTTTTTTTAAAGAATGTCGTATGGGCACTGCACTTTTGAGTAAGCCAATTGAATCTCACTGCGCACTTTCAAATTCATCTAGATCGCTCCTTTCAGGCCCAGCAGGGCATCTTTTTAAAGTAACATATTTACTAGTTTTCTTTTTTTCTTTTTTTTTGTTAAGATAAGAAAAATGTCGACTTTTTCATCATTAATTTTCATTCAAAATACTGATCGTCTCTTTCACCATTTATTTTCATTCAGTGTTCTGAAATTAACTGCTAATATATGTATAATTTATTAATATTCATTTGAACTTTTTGCTTAAGAGAAAACGCTTGATATTTTGCTATTTCTAGGATAGAACTATTTGGCAAACAATTAAGTTTCCTCTTGTTGAAATGAAACTATCTAATGTAGTTAACTTGGTGAAAAAATTGGATATTCCTGTTGAACGAATGGGTGTTATCGTAGAGAAAATGCGTGCAGCTAATCTTTCTGGTTTGGTTTTGTCAGCATGTGATTTACTTGAAGTACAGCAAGTATTAAAGGTTATCTTTGCTTGATCTCTTATTGATTGCATAGTGACTGTTATTTTTAACGATCAAAGAATTTGTTAGGTAGTAGTTCATTGCCATGTTATCGTTTTAGATTCAAAAACTTATTGAAATATTCTTGATCTTAAAAGTTTGTGATATTGAACTACTTGTTAAATATTAGTAGCGAAAAAACTTTTTCACCACAAAGAAAAAAAAATTTTTTTGTTTTGTTTGTTAAGATTGCTTGAAAATGAGAAGGTAAAAGGTTCAGCTTGAAGTAACGGATGTTTTTCATTATGCTGATTAATTTCAATGGAATGCATAAATTCAGATGATTTTAGGTTTTTGTGTTTTGCAGCTCAGCTTAGGTGATTGGACGTTGATAAAACTGCTGATCGAGACTCTTCGAAATTGGCAGCCGATTGCTACTAGTAATCCTGTTGAGCTTTCAAATTCAGCGGTATCAACTATATCTGTACTACCACTTTCAGTACCATCTAATCTCACGCAAGGACAAAAACAGCAGCTCTTGCAGGTTTTTTTTATTCGTTAAGATTGGTTATCATCTTTTATAAAACCTTAGATATCATCTTGTCTTTCACTCAAGCTCTTCTTATTTTCCGTGTGTTTTACCTGTGGGTTGTAACTTGAACAAAGTTTCGTTATTATAATAGAAATGTTTTGTTTAGGTTTTTAATAGTTTGTATTCATTTTTCATTATATTCATTCAATAAAAGAATTTGATGCATTGTTAGATTTTATTTTGGTCGTTTGGCAAAAATGCTTCAGAATATGAGTAGTGTGAAAATTGCCTCTAATGAAAAGTGCAAGAAATTTCTGTTATGTAATTATCAATACGCAAGACATGTAGTACATTTTGTAAGTATAGTTGTAATTATTAAATAATCTTTTTATACTTAAGAAAATAAAATCTCTTAAAATAAAACTAAAAATATAGCGGTAGAAAAAGGACTTTCTGTCATTACTTGTGGGATTGATAGTCGACAAGTCTGTCTTATGATACTGGTAATAATATCGGAATTTATCAGTTGATAGTCGTAAAACACTTGTAAGGATTATCGACTCGGTATATGACAGCAAATAAATCATGCTGTATCTTCAGAATGACATCTACAAAAAACATTGTAAAAATCATTCTGAAAATACAATTGGAATTCGTAGATCTATTAATATCCTCTGCTGATGTTGATCAAGAATATGAATTGTAAGAAGATTTAGACTGAACTGGATGGTGATCATCGATGGATACTAGAAAGTTTCTCAGGAATGGATGTTGCGGAACCGGAAGGTGATATATTACCCTCCTCTTCAGTACCATCTGTTCATTTTGAAGATGAAGCCGCTTCAGAAGGAGATAGTACGGAGAGCATGTGTGGATCGCAAGAAAATTTGCTAGATTCTCAACTAGTTTCAGAGGGCCGGTGAGTTTTAATTTGTTCGATCTTTATATAAGTGTTGAAAATAAGCACCATCAGAAAGAAAACATCTGTAGTAATAATTTTAATTGCTTGAATATTCTTTAAATTGCTGTCATTGGCTTTAATGACTCGTAACTCCAAAATAGAGTTTTTATCAAATAGCGAATTCGAATTTACTATTCTGTAAGATATCGAAAAGGTTCCATTATTTAGATTCAGTAAGTAAACTGGGAGAGAAGAAATATAAATGGTTATATATACTAGTAATATTGTGATATATAAAATTTATATAAATATTTTAATGTACTTTAAGATCAATAGTTTGTCATAAAGCTGCTCTTATATACTACCGAGTGTGGACCTGATCTTGAAAGTTTTTTCCTTGACAAATGTTTGGTGCTGTTAATCGTCATAATTTATTATCATCATTTTTGGTTACAGTTGGGATTTAGCTTACTTATGTAATTTGTTCGATAAAAGTTAATGCATCTTGTTTTCATGTTTTTTTTCTCAACACTGAAATTTCTAGGCAGATAATTTAACAGAAAATATAAAATGTTTTTCTTCCTGATCATTTTCCACTTAATTTATTTACTTTTATATGTTTTTATAATTGGAATGTCGAAGCACTTCGAACTGATATAATTAGTGTAGAATTAGAAATTTCCCGCATAAAATTTGATACACAGTGAAGAATACATATGACATGGAATTAGTTCATGTCATGAAAAATTTTTGTAAAAAAGTTTAGATTCATGGAAAAAAGTATTTAGCATAATGTACTTTAATATGCAAGCAAATTATAATTTATTAAGTTATAACCGGAATTTATACCAGATTTGAGAATAAAATAATGGGGAAACAAGGGAGAAACGACGTTCGCCGCAGGTATACAAGGTATTGTGTGATATTGGTATGACTGATGTGTTATTGAATCTAATTTTTTTTAATGATTAAAGTTTTCGAGATGGTTTCATCAAACTACTTACATATCTTTAAAGAAGGTTACAAGTGTTATGTTAGCTTAATGCTATAATTGCAAATGCAGTTTTTTTCTGTATGTGATTACAACTATCTTTAACTAATGCAAATTTTATGCATGTTTTATCTCTTTTTAAGTTTGATATTGCATTCTTCGTAAGTATTGCAAGAAATGGGGAATGAATTTTACTTGCCTTCTGCTAATTAATTTCTGGCTAATTAATCCCTACTAACTGATATTTTAAATTTGGATTAATCAGTTGTAGACTTTGAGACAATGATTGTATTCTCAGATTTGTTTGTATGTAGTAACTTACTTGATGGCTAGACAATCAAACAATTTCCATTACTAACTGTAGAACTTCAGTAATGCTATATGTTGAAGAATTTGCTCTTGCGGTCACCCTCTACTTCTCTTTTTGTTGTGCTATATTTTGATTTTTTTTCCTCTTTCAGCTGTTAGTTGTCGTGTAATTTTTCTTTTATGTAATACAAATCTGATAATCAAATTTAAGGGAAGAATTGATGGAAAAAATACATGTGGATTCAGTTCATTCAGATCCAAGTTGCACAGGAACTCAAAGTCGACCTGTATCTGCGGTGATTTTAGATGTCTCTGATAATCAAGAAACATTGAAGAAGATTAGCACTGCTGAAAGAGCATCAATAAGAAGTGTTTTCGATACGATTTGTCCGTAATAAATGTCACTAGCAACTTTTAATCACTTAAAAATTTTATGCAAAACTATGGTACCTTACTGTCCTTAACTATTTATAGTTGTTCATTATGGTAGCTTATTAAATATTCCTTGTTTGCTAATTGATATCTGAAATTTTTGAATCACTAGAACATTTCAGGTATCATATTATTTTGATGCTGTATATTCTTTATTAGTTTTTTAAAAGCAGTTATTTCCAAACTTGATGCATATTATGATGATTCAATTAGTAGATTTAAAGTAATAAATTACAAGTAACATATTGTTAGTATAATATGCGCATATATTTATTTTCGTTTGCTGATCAAATCAGTATTCTAAGTTTAAATTTTTTTATCTCTTTCAATCTATTACTTTGAAGAACATGCGGATATTTTATCTGATTCTTCCTGTATTTAAGTTTATCGTATAATAATTTTTTCTGCATGGCAGGGCTTATTTTTTTTGAATCATTATTGTCTTTATAATTCTACTTTTGCTTAATTTATAAACCTGGAATGAATTTTTGTGCTTCGGATATAGACGTGTCTGTCACTTTATGTTTCAGAATTCTGATTTGCTGTGCTCAATTTTTTCTTGTTATTGTTTATAATAACTATCTTTCGTCGTAATAAATATCACACTGTAATACTTTTTACCTCAAATTTTTTTCTTATGTGGGAAATTTATGCGTCTTCTTGCTAAGTAGTGTTTATCAAACTTGATATTTGTTTATTTGCTTCTACGTCATAAATAACGTAGTATAAATTTAATTCATATAGAATAGATATTTCTTCTTTGTATGTATGATATTTTCAATTGCACCATTGAAGTTTTGTTGCAATTGGGTAGTGGTTTATATTGAAGTCTATTTTTACATGTCATGCTGTCATATGTCATCGTACTGAATGCAAAGCTAATAAAGATTGAAGGTAAAATGACCTGCTTGTTTATTCTATTCTTCTATAAAAGCATTGTTTTTTTTGTGTTTGCAAAATTTTTGCATGAACTGCTAGGAACCTGACTTTTTTATCTACAAATTATGGTGGTTGCCATTTAGTTTTAAAAATGGGAGGAAGCAGTGGGTCATTACGGTAGGGCAACTTAAATTTGACTGTATTTTTTAATAGGTAAGGTTAATAAATATGGTTGAATATATGCACTTGTGAGATACATAGTTTTAGAATTTATGGTTGCTTCATTTTTCATGAATATTTCCTGAAAATGCATAGTCAAGAAAAGATCATCCTGTAACCATGGTGACCTATCCATCTTGGACATTCGTTATCTACTCTGTGGTTCGTTATAAGATTTTTTTGATACTATCATGTTTTTCCTATTCATTTTCAATATTTATTGCAGTAGTCTTAAATATTCAAATTTACATTGGTTATAGTCACTTGAGATTGCAAATCATTGAATGATTTTTTGCAGACTCAAGAGAAGTTTATGGTTTACAGCAGAAAACAAATACACACCATCATTAGGTGGATTTTGCTTTTCTTTGCATCACTGTCTTGGATCTGTGTTTTTATTGCTGGTTTCATTGTTTCAAAACGATACATTGCAAAATATTACCTCTCTACCACAAATGTTTTAATTAATGAAGTATAAAACGGTATATGAAGAAGTAAGTTGTTTATATTTTCAATTTTTAGGCTCTTGATGGTTCGTTGTTTTATGTACAATTCAGATTCCGCACATAAATATTTTGTAACATTCATCTAAATATTATTCTTACTAGTTTTAATTTAACATTTATGACCTATTTTTGCTAATTTCAAAATCTGAATGGAAATAAAAAGCTGGAATTTTTTATTTTTGCGAGCAAAGTAATTTTTATTTAGCTTAAGACTAATTAGTTGCTAAAACTAGACGATTTTATAATCATTTTGTTTTTTCTGAATGAATAGCTATAACATTTCAGTAATCATTTATTGCAGCCTTGTACACGCAAATACAAAGCAGTTAAATGTTCAGCTGCTTATTGTTGCAACACTTTTTTGTTTGTATTCACGTTATTGCTCACGTTATTTGTCGCGTTTACAACTCAAGTATCCATTTATATGTATTCTTTTTGTTCTTTAAATTAAGAACCAATATGTCTCTACGAAAGATTTTAATTCTTTCGTAGAGACATATTGGTTCTTAATTAAATGAAATAATTTTCGAAAATTATTTCATTAAAATATAATTTTTCTATAATTTATTCGTTATATTTTCGGCCATTAATATTTGGTTTGATAATCATTTTAATTCTATTTTTGAAAATTTATTATTGCAGTGTTTATTGCAGTAGTTCTGGTTAATAATATTGCTAAAACTTTTTTATTTCAGGGTTTTTGGAAAAAGTTTGGAGAATATCGTGAACAGGCAGCAGTTTATTACAAACAACGATTTATTGTATTATTGAAAGGAGAAGAACCTAATGATTATTTGGTATGGAGCTCATATCCCTTGCTTAATCATGCTGAAGAAGCTCATGCTCGAATTGCAGTAGTAGAAGAATATGAAATTGATTTAAATGATGATGAGAAACCTGACCAGATAAGTTTGATCATGCCTTTTTTTAGGATAAATGGAATTAGAGAACCATCACATTTCGGAAAAAAACGTTATCATTGCAAAAGCCTACAGAATAACTCTTTACTTACTTTTATCCAAACGAAATCTCATTTATTAAAGTGATCAAGCAAAATAACTTCGTTCTGTTTTCGAGAAATTTTATGATTAAGGAAAGATTCACAAATCTACTCGTTTTCAGATCGAATTGAATGTGACATTTCCTCTAACGGATAAAGATAGAATTCATGGAGTATTTTTCATATTCTTTTTCGACTACAAACTTGATTATAGATCACGATTTTCGGTATGCATTTTTTTTTTCCTTGAATTAATCATTTTTGATTTTAGATTACGTATGTGAGTTGATTTTGATATCAGGGATTTTTTAAAAAATATATTGATGCATTTTTTATAAAAATAAATTTTTAACATTTATTTTGCATGATTATCTTATAATCAGCTTTTAGAGCGGAGATGTTGCATTCAACAACATTTCACATAGCATCTCTTCTTTCCAATATAGTTCTTTATCGTTTTAGATATTCCACAAGTTTCTTTTTTCATAAATTTTCTAAAGTAAGGGAAAAAAGCATTTATTTTTTAGAATTTTTAAAATTGTCTTTAACAGTTTAGATGGAGGCTGCAATAATCGATGATTTGGAGCGTATTTTTCCATCTTCATCGTTAACAGTTTCTGGAGAACTTTGGTTAGATCAAATGATTCCTTTCTGGAGTAGTGGCTTCGATTCTGATCACGGCGGACTTTTGATCAATGAATCAAGTTTGGATTTGATTCAATATAATCCAACTATTATTGCTTCGCGCCATTCACTCAAGAATTTTACTACAACATTAAAAAGGCATTTTATCTTCCACGTGTTTTAAATTACTTTACAAGTAAAATATTTTGAATAATGTTACAACCGTACAGATGTCAAATTATTTCCATGATCTTTAAGAATTTGGTACTTTATGTCTCTGCTTTTAATGGTTAAATCTTCTTAAAAGACCACTAAACTTATCATTACAATTACTTCATGAATTCAGGGCCAACAGGATATAAGGAGGTCATACAGCTTTTAAAAACTTTGCTTGATAGTTTAAAGAGTAAGAATGACTAGTCAGTGATTGTTACGAAAATCTTTGTCCGCTTCTATTTTTCACGAAGTACCAGTGTTTCTCAATAAGTTATGAATATTTACATTTTAAATTATGAATTTTTTGCAGTCTAAGAAAGATTTTTAAACGAAAAAATATTTGTCTCTCACAAAGATTTTTCATTTTTGATTAATAACTGCTTTATGAATGTATTTTGTTTATAGTTTGACCCTAAACTAGCTTGTTCAAAATCAGTGCTGCGTCAAGAACTCTCCAGTGCAACAAAATTTTATTGTTGAAATAAATAAGTAATTTATGACTTCGCTGATTATTGAAAATATTGAACTATTCGTTACAAATATATAATTTCAGAAAATTTGTTACATGGACTCCTCGACAAGCAGATAGTAGCCATTTTGTTCTTCACTTATCAATACGAATCAGTGAGCAACAACTAGTGTACCAAACAGGCCTTCTTGAGCTCTTCAAGTGGGCATGGATTCAGTATTTTGCTTTTTTTGTTGTTGTGAACTTTTTTGTTCACAAAGTGCGCAGATTCCTATTTGAGAACCATCTTCTGGATACAATTATCAAAACAGAATGATGATGAAGTCTCAATGAGAAATTACATTAACTGAAACTTGAAAGATTGTTTTTTGATTATTAACATATAAAACACCTAAATCCTGTACTTCTTGAGCTTCCTTGAAATTTTATATGATTTTTATCTTTTAATGTCAATTTTTTTACTGTCGCACGTATATCTATACCCCGGTTGTTAAAGTAAGCAATCTTCTGTACATCGTTCATGTAATATTTTTTCACCAAAGTTTATTTGCAAGCAAATTTATAAAACTCATACAACTTCATTTTTCTGAATAAATGCATTTTTTAATTGCCTTAAATTTATTTGTATGATTTTGAAAAATAATTGAATTATGGCAAGTTTGAATGTTTTTGTATATTTTAGAGGCGGAAAAACAGTCACAACTAATTATGTTATTTAGATTATTTGAGAGCAATAAAGGTTTTTCTTTGAAAATGGACAATGATTTATTTTAGAAATAACCATGAATATAAGCTAAACTTCACGTGTGATTTTAATCTTATAGTGTAAGACGTATTATAAAATTTTTATTTTGAGAATTTTCACTTTAAATCTGCAAGCAAGGATGCTAACAATGATGGCTGAAAGATCATCGAATGCAATTTTAGAAAATATTGAAAAATTAGCCACGAGAATATATATCTCGTATTCATTTACATCACACAATAAATGCGATTAAAATTGTTAAAAATTTGATCAGTATCAGTATTGTCATCAGTATCGTATGTCTGAAGTATGATGATCAAATAAGTTTAGCCATTGCAACAGAGTGAGCGCAAGTACTGCATTGAACATTTTTTACGGCAACATTCCTTTGCTACGTCGTTTATTGTTCCTTCATCCAAAGTTGGTACAGATAAAATATATTATCCTTTTACAAGAATAAATTTTCATTTCTAATTCAGAATTGAAAATTGTTAAAAGACAATTTCTAACTTTACATGACAATTTCTAACTCATGACAATTTCTAAATTTACACAAGTAAGCAGACGAACAAAAGAAAACGGATTTTTGAGTTGTGAATTTGTGTTATAATTTTCGAAAAATGGTACTCACAACAGAAACAAATATATGTAGCAATATAAAATAAGAATCTAATCATATGATCAAAATTGAGTAATTTACATTTATCTTTCAAATATAAAAACTTACCAATAATTGGTGAATCTTCAGAAAATAATTTTTGTTGTTCTAATGCCGATCGCAAGATGTTTACATTGGACTGTTGAGAAAGCAGTAATGCAAGATAAATGTCAGCATTATTATTATTATTATCTATAGCAAGTTGAGATTCCGAACATGCACTGCAAGCTGACCTAAGAAGTAATGACAAACGTCCAACACAAACGTCATTCGGGTGCAGTGCTGCGATTTCTGCGCAGCTGAGAACGGAAAAAATGTAAAAAATTATGCTGCATCGCATCGCAAATCAGTGAGAGAGAAGTTTTGCTGTAATTTAACTTTAAAATGCAATCAAAATTGTTGATAATTAATGATAAGCAAATAATCCATAGGTAAAGTAAAAAAATTATATGTAAATTTTTTATGCATTGATATTTAAGCAAGCAATATCAATCAACTCTAATTATTTAATATCACATAGATAAGACAAGTCGGGCTATCCTGAGATCAGTCCTCATGAGAAATAACACTAAGACTAATCGCTAATAGACAAACTTTGAACTTTGACTTCACGAAGCATTTTTTTAGCCATGTTTCTTCCTTTATCCTGACATTCCTACATATATCTACTTTTATAGATATCGAATATTATTTTCTACATAAAATAACAAAAAAGTAAATTCTAATATGCAATCGAAATCGTGGTTTTTCTTGTCTGAAATGACACTAAGCCCTAAGATAAGTACTCTGAATTCAGAATATATAATTTACATATTTATTTGCTCATAACAAATTTTTGTTCATTCGAAAATGATGCGAAATAGCTAAAACAGTTAGATAAATGAGTGGATTTGAGATTTAAAAACGAGCTCGATGAATAAATAACCTTTTCATCATGCAGAAATCAAAAATCTCGAGTACACTATTGATAATAATCATTGTTTATTTAACAATGTCCAAAATCGGCGCAAATATTGAAGTGAAATAGATGAGATATATAGCATTCACTAGGTAGCTTAAAGCGAGCTTCAGCATTCATAATTATCATAATTGCACCTTTGATAGCTAGCAATACAATCATCATAGCCTTTTCCAATTCGTTCATCTTCAAATTGAAATAATTTTAAGATCTGAAACTTATAATTATAAAAATTATACGTTTTGATAAAAATTTTCGAAATTTCATCCATAATTATATATTTGAGTTAATAAATTCACACATACGAAAGTATAAATTATTTTCAGATAAACCGGCAGAGATTCTGAAATTTTTAAATGTTTGGAGATAATTCTTCTTCTACCTAGTAATTTCTTCACTAACTGTTTATTTCAAGCGAACAGTTTTTCGAAAACAATTTTATTTGCTATTAAATATATATAATGAAAAAAATGTTTATTGAATAAAAATTAAATCTATAAAAAATCAGTTTTTACTAAAAAAATGTCTTTTAAGAATTTAAAAGTTTTTAGATACAACAAAAATGGCTATGTAATTCGCTCGCTAATAATCAGTGTTTGAATATTATACAAATTTTATTAGTATTTTTAATATTATTTATATTTGCTAAATTCGTTTGCATTCAGCAACACTATTTAACAACGGAGCTGTATAAATTCGCTATTTCAGTAATAGTTTGACTGAAGTAAAATATTTACTAAGCCGAGAAAAAAAGAATCTAAGGACAATCTGACCAAATATTTATTTTATCTAAAATTTTATGATTTGAAAATCGAACAATAATTTTACAACTTGCAAAACTAATAGCAATATTTTAAAAATGTCAAAGACTGTTTCTAACATTCGCACTTTTTCAACATTACTTTGAAAGCCTTTTTGGTGCCAAATTTCAAATTGTATGAGTTGCATATGCAAATTAATGGTAATAACTTAGCACAGAAATAACTACCTTATCTATAACTGCAAATTCTACATGGATGACACTTTCAAAGAACTTTTGAACCAAATATATTACTGTAATCCATTGATGCCTTCACCAATGGACCCTTGAATATACATTATGAGCAACATGATGAAAATGGGATAAAAGATAGTCTGCTGTTTCAATAATATAAACTATGTCACTTTGAGCGTTTCACTATGAAAACTTTTATCCTATTCAGTGAAAATTTTAACTGCAGTTTTTGTTTCCGGTGAGGATTTTAACGAGAGTCCTTTTTCTTACTAGTGAAGGTTCTCAAATTCTATTTACAAATTTAAGAAATGACCATTTTGCGCTGTCAAATTTTAGTATTTTCCAAACTGTAGTTTTAAAAGTTTGGAAAATAGGAAAAAAGAAATAACACGCAGTAATACCATTTTTATTAATATTTTTTTTATTAATATTTTCATTTATATATATGAATGGTAAAGCTTAACAGGGATTAATGCCAAGTTAATATTTAAATTGATTTTTGTCAAAAATAACACCAATTTGTTTTTTGTTTTATGGCTGTTGTTCTATTAGCATGTTGATGGAAGTATTAGCTTCGTACATTATATTCATCTTTATATTTGCTTAATTGCATGAAAATTTGTAATTTTACTAATACTTCAGTTTTGATAGCCTCTGAAAATGTATCCTTTTTTGGCTACATTTTTTTGTTCCATATATAAACGTTTAATATTTCTCGGAACATGGCAGGTTTTTTTTTCAGATACTTCAAGAATATATTACAACGTTAAAATGGTAATTAGTAATGTGCTGACCACTGAGGCGATGCAAGATGACTGTTTAATGCGAGTAAGTTCAGTATATTGTTTTATGCAATTAAAAACTTAAATTTTATACACTACATAGCGAAAAGTTTTTGATCCTATACAGTTTTGCATAGATATCTGTTATCGACAAGTAGACAAGTATGGATTCAGTACGGATTTTTGCTAGCGATTTTTTTTGACTTATCATCAACTGAATACCAATTATTAATAATGATCGTTTGTTTTTACTTGTTATGGCGTGATATCAATTGTAGACTGCGGAGCAATATTGGTCGCCACATACAAGCGATCATCTTCCTTTCGATGCAAATTTGATCAGTATAATTTATGAAAATGAATTGCTAGAAAATTTGTTCATGCAAAAGAAAGTTATTCTTTTGGAATTCAGGTTTGTTTTGTTGCTTATTCACTTTCTAGCACAACCATATATCTTCCGAATATTATTTAGATGAAACATTCTGGTTTTTTAGATGAAACAGTATTTATTTTTAAATTGGTAAGAATCGAAGTTGAATAGGAAGGCATTTAAAAAATGTTAATTTTTTAGCTGTTTAATAATCTCTAAGGTTCATTGAAATAACATCTATTTTTGGAGTATTTGCATTATTTTCACTATTTACTAATAAATTATTGTATATTTTAATGAAAAGATCACAGTTCATTGTATCTATGATATTAAAAAAACTGCTAAAATTCTTTAGTCAGTATTTCGAGCATTATCTCTGGCCAAATTTTTGCGCTGAGCAAGCGAACAATCATTATATCATGTCAATCGTTATTATGCTGAACGAGAAATTTCGAGAAAGAATTCCAGTTTGGCGTGTAAGTCTATTTTTGCCATAATTTTTTGCAAAATATAAAGCATCAAAAGCTGTGATAGTATCTTGGAAACATTTTTGTACAGTGGACTTCCCGTAATCTGCCACTATATTTTGCTAGTACCAAAATGTATTGTTATCAATTACATGATTTGAAAACATATTTTTTGCAAAAATTTATCTTAAAGAAAATGAAGCCCTTCTACCTTCAAACATTTTTTTTTTCGTCGCTACGATTTTTGTTTACAATCTAATCCTAGCATTTCAGAGCATTATTGAACGACCAACTCAGTTTCCTGCTTTTTTCAACAAAGTATTGCACCTTGCATTGGAAATAAAAGAAATTACTTTTTTGGAACGATCTGCTGTTATTGCATTTTTAGTCAACTGCTTTAATTCAGTAGTAAGTTTTCATTTTATGCAATCAAAAGTTAAATTCTCATTTAGTGTGCGAAAAAATTGTTTTTTTTTCAGGAGATTGATATTGTTAGGTCAGAGGTGGTTAAAATTGTTTCACTGTCGATGTGGTCGAATTTACTCCCGGTTTGTCACTGTTTTCTCGTGTATCGTGCATAAATTTCTTATTTGTGGTAAGAAATGGGAGCATGAATGTAATCTACTAATTTGTGAAAAGTATTATGTTATTTTCAGACTCAAAGGGAAGACCTTTTTCAAGCGAATCCGAAGTTGCGGAAAATATGGAACAAATTAGAAGCTAAACAAGCTTTACAGTCAGCTGAAGAACAAAAATCCTTAACTTTTCAGCAAACCTTTATGTGGAATTTGTTGCAAAATTTTAGAAATACATTGGCCGATGTTGATAATGAATCTGAAGGTTATTTTTCTGTCTTATCTATCAAGTTTATTTGTTTATTTAGGTTAGAATCACTCACATGATTTTTTAAGAAGTGGATGTAAGCAGCATAAATTATTTGGAACGG